AATGACTTGGTAGGATTTAGCAGGTGATCTGTGACGGAAGATCTGAGCAACTGATCAAGAAGCATTCACGCCATTAATAGCTAATAACTCCCCACGTGTAACTCGCGCGAGCCTCATTTTCGGACCTAATTAAAAAACTTCAATGATTCTTAGGTGAACTGACAGTTAGCTCACGGGGGATTATTGAGCTGCTTCTGTAGCTTTTAAGTCTGTTTTTAAGAAAAAGGGGGACAATGTAGGAAGTGGGACCCGATTTAAACGTCTTCCGTTGGATTAGGTCGAGCAGACCTTCTGTTACACACTGTAATAAATTGTTTAAAAAATTTAGATTATTATTTGAAAAAATATTCCATCAATCAAGAGTGCTTGTGAAATTATTTACTAATCCCCTGTTAATATTACCAAAGTCAAAAATGCTACGTTTTACTGTTGGTTTTGCGGAAACGACGACTGGAAGGCGACAATGAATTACTGCACGATCACTTACAAAAAGGTCATGATGAAAATCCATAGATAGGGGGAAGGTGCCATTAGTAAAAAGTAAATCCAATATACTATCGTCTCTGATCGACGAGTGGACTAATTGAGAGAAGTTTGAAAAGTGAATGGTGTCTAGAAGCTTCTGCAATTTAGGAGAGGAAGTATGTGCGTGCCAATCAATTTCTGGCGAATCAAAATCGCCTACGATGATCTTGAAAATAGGATTTTGTGAATTTTCAGCATAATACGAGGGATAGTTTATGTTAGATGGCGGACGTAATGGTTTCGGGAAACAGCTTACATTAGGAAGAGGTTCTATCATTTGGGGCGTCATATTAACGATGGGATTGGAAAAATTATCACCAACTCTATATGTTTGTATTTTGCAGGCTGGTTTGCGAGGGGGGTTCACAACTGGGGTGTTAACGTTAAGTTGAGAATTCGGGATAGGAACAGGTAAAGATCTCCCTGAAATATCGTCTGGCTTATTTGACCTAACCGCTAGGTCAGACCTGAGTGGCCAGGCGCAGGAACGAGAAACATTCGATCCAGCTTTATTAACTAACTTATTCTTCTGAGTGCTGGAGGTCGGTTGTGCTTCTAGGATTGGCCCATCTTTACTGTAAAGATCAAGCGCCCTAGTAAATTTTGGAGCCGCATTTGAACAATCCTTGCTTCTTGGAGGCGTTTTAAAGTGGTTGATTTCAACTGACTCTGTGACAATGTGTTCAATTGAAAAGCTAGATGGAACTGGGGCCGCTGCGAATAGGGAGAGATTTGGTTGACGCCCGATGGAGAATCTGCTTTGGAGGCAAATGGCAGATGATTAAAATTCTGGGGTGGCTTTACGTTTGTTAGTGGGGGAGAAACTCTTCGTTGCAGTGGAGTTTTATCCCGACCAATAAAAAGTTTACTTACCATAAGATATTCAGCTGAGCTCTCCAAATGGGAGAAAATAAAGTCCACTTCTATCGACGAAAATAGTTTGAGAAGAATTGGTTGATTTTTGCTTCTAGATGAAAGTCTTTTAGCTTCTACGCAAAGAATTAGGGAACGGCCGACGAGGAAATTCTCGGTCCATTTGGGAAGTTTGCCGCCGAAGCCCATGACTCTCAAACTATAAAGGAGACGCTGACGCGGAATACTGTCGATCGCCTTACGGAAATCAATATGGGCCACACGCACAGTGTGTTTTGTATCGAGTGTTCCTGTACAGCTTTGTATGGTGTATAGCAAGTTAGTTTTACATGATCTACTCCTACGTTAACCTTTTGAAAAGAAGTCTAACATTCACTGAAATAGGCCTACCATCTAAAGGACCAAAATTCAATCCAATCGATGCTGTAGGTACAAACTTTCTAGTGCGTCTTAACTTCATCCTACTGACCTCTTCTATCCCGGAAGACACGCGTGCAGACATACGCAGTTATGCCCGTAGTCTTCTTCGACAAAGGAAACATCATAAAAACTAACCCATCGATGTAGAAAAGAGGTTGCGAGGTCTGTTGACGGATGATAGTATAGTGGTTGCATTTGCCGACGAAGGTGGCGCAACCATCACTATGGACTAGAGTGATTACCACCATAGGGGAAACCAAGTCTTTGATGACAGGAAAGCCTACACACCATTCGCTGAGGACCTAACAGAAACCAGGCCGCAAATATAAAGATGAAGCCAAGTAAATTTGCCCGAATAAAGCTGACAATTGTAAATTACTCCAGATTCATGATTCTCGGTGGCTCCCGTATCGCAAATGCATTTGACCTTCAACAAATGCACAAACCGGGTGCACTACTGAGAATCCTAGTGCAACGCATTGGATCGCTCACTTACAGTCTTGTCAAATAGTTATACAGGCATCTGAACCACCTTATCGATGGATCACAATACAGTGCCACAAACTCTCAGACATTCCTTTGAAAAACCCCTGGTCTTAACGTAAGCCCCGATGAGAGCATCTTAATTATCCAATTCATTTGCCTTGTTTTCCTAAGAAAAAAATAAAATGGCAAATGAGGGCGTAGCCCGAGACCTGCAAGAAGATCTCAGTGATATTCTAGTACAAAACATTTGCACATTTACTCGAGTCGCACGACGACACGGGAAACCGACGTCGAAAATTTACTCAATAAGTTTTTTTTTCTTTCCCCAAGAAACGTATTTGCTTTCAAATCATATTTCTTGGGATGCCAAAGTCCCATTTCACGCATATATATAGGCAGAATATACATATGCATATATGTCGAAATGAAATAAGTTATATAGGACTAGAAGCTTCAATGCGTAGATTTTCGACGCTGGTTCCTGAGGTCGTCGTCAGACGCAGACAGACAGCGAATGTGAGAAGACGAATCGGTTAACGGCACTAGTGTACGTAAAATCGATACTTGCCGGACGTTTGCGCTAGTAAGCGTCTGCCGTGCGCGTCAGTCTGTATCGTTTGGTTTTCGTCTCTTCCACTTTTCCCTGAGATTTTTATACGTGGTGTCCAACTCGATATGCCTATCGATGCAC